GGGGTTGTGTTTATAAATGGAAGGAATTTGGGAAGATACTGGTCTATTGGACCGCAACAAACACTTTATGTCCCAGGGCCCTGGCTTCACAAAGGAGACAACCAGGTACTGTGTAATATACACTCGTACACTACAGTATACTGCAGCATATGCAGCATGTTATGAAAAAGGCTATTTTTTTCTTTTCTGTTCTTACACATCTTGCCATGTATGTTGGGAGATCAAACTGTTAACCTTACATGCATCTTAAACATAAAAAAAAAAATAAATAAACATGTAGTCCGATTATGTGTGTGACATATTTACTGCATCAGGAAAGGGTCATCCATTTCTGTTTAGTTTTTTTTTTCTTCATATTTTTATATGTGATTAACTGACACTCCGTGGATTAAAGTTCATCCATGTTGTTGAATGCTTGGCTGAATTAATCAAACGTTAGGTGGTGCTGCCATAAGTTTGAGCCCTTTCATTCATTGAACATGCAGAACGTGGGGAGTCTTTATGTGTGCGGGCCGAACATCTGGATAGTGGAACATGGGATTGAGCAGTGATAAAGTTGGGTCTTTGCTGCACCATTGACCCTACAAAATGGTGTACATTTTGTCTCAGAGTTGTGACACTCATGCCATGGATTTTTTTTTAAAACATATTAAAAAACAAACAAACATGGCAGCCTTTTTTTATGGGTAACGTGTGTATAAAAAAGTATCAGGAATCAAGAAGGTGATGCTGGAGCATCGTGTACTTAAAGTTGCCAATCTTCCTAAGCCACCAAACACACAGCTGATAACAGCCTGACAAGGTTGTGTTTTATAACAGAGTCTACCTTTCATGAAGTGAAAATGACTTGAAGGGTATTTATTATTTTATTAGATTAAGATGTAACACCATCTTGCAAAAGATGTGCACTACTTATCCAGTCTGTATATTTTTACCCAAAACTGGTTCATGACATTTCTGGTGACAGCTTCTCAAGATATTCCTGAAATAACAGCACATTACAGAGGATTTAAGGAGTCAGCTCTTAGTGACATATAAACGAGGTCATGATAAATCAACTCAAAACTTTTTTTTCCATGTATAATTTCACATTTGTCCTATACTATCAAACTGAAAAACAAACATGTTTGTTTGGGGGAGGAATGGAACACAAAAATGCAAATAAGTGGTTGCATAACTGTGCACACATTTTAAGTGATATTTGATTAAACCATCTTTTTGTAGAATTTTTTATTTTTTATTTATTTTGTCAAATGTTCACAGTGATGCTAAAACATAACATTCACCTTGAGCTTTCTTGTATCCACGTTAAGGGTGTAAGCCAAGCTGACTGGCATGCCGCAGCTTGGAGCTACCACCATCATATGTTACTGTGGATTTGATGTTCTGTTCCTAATTTATTGTTTTTACCCAAAACTTCTGGTTTTGGTGTATAAGGACATCTGGACTTGATTAACAATAAATCAGATACAATTGATGACAGTCAGTCGGATCTGATGACAGTCGTATGTCCAGAAGATAAATTGAGGAATTAAATTAAGAGATGTTTCAACAAAGCTCTGCTTTTTTTAGTGTTCAACTCTGGTTGTTGCTACTTTCAAGTGAAAATGCCCCCAAACAAGATTTGTTAGATTATTTTTCAGCTGGATCATTTGTAATATGACACCTTAAAGGTGGATAAAGTTGTGAAATATATAATTAATATGTGAGTTTCTTGTGACCTAAAACATGTCATTTTATCAGTGTTCTGTCTGCAAGCTATTCAGTTGACAAAGATTTAGAAAAAAAAAGCAAATAATCTATTAATCTATGTTTGCATAATTATGGTTTTGATTTCTTGCTAAATACAAACGGCATGTTTACATAAAGAATCCATGCTTAGTATTTTGAAAAGTTTTCATGTTTACCACTATGCACTTTCTCGCAAATTTCTTAGGCCACTTTGTCCATCTTACTTTCCGATTCCTTTTAAGAGTGTGCTTACATTAACACAAAACCACCCACTTTCACTATCCTTTCATGACCTTGGCTGAGCTTCTTTTCCCTGTGCTGTCATAGGTCGTGGTGTTTGAAGAGCAGGAAGCAGATGGTAAACTCCAGTTCATCAGCAGCCCTGACTATGGCATGACTGTTGATGTCCAGTGAGGATAAGAGGAGAGCGTATGCTAAGGAAGCATGAGCAGAGCAGACACGACTGCTGTTGGTTATGTTTACGTGGATCTGGACTGTCTGCCCTGGTCAGCAGCACCAAGGTGTAAAGACTACTTTAAATTGATTTTCCCAGTTTGTCTTACCGGCCATACTCATGGCACGTTGTTATATTTAGTTGATGGGTATCATTCGCTCTTTGTTGAAAAGATAAATCAATAAATCTGGTTTGACCTCTGTTTGTAACCAAGGCCAGCGAAGCTTGTGAGCTATTTATTTTTTCTCCATCCTTTCCTGCCTCATCCTTTGATGATGCTCTGAAAGCCTCTGCAGAGTAATCAAGGTTACAAAATCGCTTTGAGGATCTTCTTTTTTTTTTTTTTTTTTGTAAACCTTACACCATAATGCTCGTTTCTTGAAATATTTTTGCTGCGATTGTTTTTGGGTTAAAAAAAAAAAAAAACCCTTTAGATAGCTGTCTGATTCCGACTACCTTACAGTGCTTTTAAAAAACTATTCACACCCCTGAATAATGAACTTTTATTGTATTTCATTGGGATTTTATTTGATAACATCATCATGTTATCAAATAAACTGCACAGTTGTAAAGTGGAAGAAAATTAATAATACATGTTTTGTTTTTGTTTTTTTGGCCCAATGAATTTGTGAAAAGTATGGCATGTTTTTGTATTCAACAGCTCCGAGTAAATACTTTGTAGAACCTTTTAGCAGTGGCGGCGTTTTCAGGTGATGGATTGAACTGTGCTCTGTGAGATGTCCAAATCTAGGATCAAAGGGATCGTAGCGCATATGGACTCAACAGTTTTACTGGAAAACCTCACATCCTTTTCCTTTCACTTTACAACGTACAACTTTGTATCAGTCTAACACATAAAATCCCAGTAAAATTTGTCAGTTTATGGTTGTAGTATGAGGAAAAGAAAAAGGGAAAACATTCTGAAGTAATTAATATATTTGGAATCCACTCTGTATTACCTGTAGCCCCTTTTATATTATTACTAATTAAACAAATGCAAAAAGTACTTTAGTTAATAGGTAATGAAGTGACAAATACTAGATGACAATTCAAATTTGCTACCTCTGTGTAGTAAAAAAATAAAATAAAATAAAAACTACAGTTCATACAGTTCAATGTGCTTTTTTTGGGGTCAGTAACCTATTTTAAATCTGCAGCCCTAAAGGAATGACTCCTTAGGACAGAAATACATACAGTTTCACATATTCTGGAAACAACACTCTGGGCTACATGAGTTTTTTTTTTTTTCTCAGTTATTTATTTATCTTGATTCAACTAACATTTGTCTGAGAGAGCTGCTGTGGCAAATAAACAACCTTAAGAGTCACATGCATAAAAAAGTGAATGAGAACAGGTGATGTGGAGATGATAAAAAAGACTATGTGTAAAGTGTATTGTGCCTTAGAGGATGTTGGTGTTTGCTGTGGGAAGGCTGGTTAAGTAAACTATTGCTTTATGCAGTGATTGTTTATAAAAAAAAAAAAAGGATCAGATGTGAAGAGATTTTTGTAACATGTTCAAGGCGGAGCCCTTTCAATTGTTCTGCTGCTCTATGACACAACACACAAAATTACATCACATAACCGTATTCAACCAGTCCGACCACATGCTGATCTGTACACTGCAGTATCATTAGTCAGTCTGCACCTTGACAAAAGCAATATCCAGAAAACAAGAACAGTAATTTACTTTCACCCTGAATCTTGGTTCAGGGGGGAACAAGCAACACCTGTTGTCATTATGTTTCTATACAACCCGACATTTTTCCACTTCAGACCACAAGTATTGTTTTGTTTTGGTGCCAAACACTTCAGGTGGATTCTTTCATAAGAAACGTGTTCGAGTGGAACATGATTATCAGCGTCGTGCCACCATCCTGCTAACGATCTACATAATCCATGTATGCTGTGTGAGAGCGTCCTTTTCTAGAGAGATTAAAACAAAAAACAAACAAAAAAAAAACAGTAGCTGCTGTAATGAAATTGCACATCCAAAGTTGAAATAAATATATAAATAAATATATTAAATTTTGACACTGAATAAATAACTGGAGGGTAGCTGGTGATGTTCATCATGGCTAATCCCTGCGCGGGGGTAATATCATGCGGTCAATGAAAGCAGCCCAGCGTGGTTAGAGAGATAACAGCCATTTTTCTGCATGTGTGTCTAATCAGTGCCAAGTAAAATGTGTAATAACTTGGATTCTCTTGCTGAGCTTTAGAATAACATCAGGTTACGTTTTTCTTGTTTTTTTTTTTGTTTTTTTGTATTGTGCAGCAGTTAACATTACATTCTGTCTCATAGGTTAGGGAGCTGCACAGAAAGAGTCAGGCAAAGCACCGAGGCTTAGTGTTTAAATTATCTCCAGTTTCTACAGCGGGACAGCAATAGATAAGAACCATCACTGGGTATTGCAGATGGACGATCTGTCAATCAGAGGAGAGATTCCATTAAATTATGAGGCGTGGAATAACTTTGTAAAAATGATCAGCTGTACTGCGTGATTACTACTGATGTCTATCGTTAGGGCTGCAGATACTCTCCTCGGTGGTCCAGTTAATGTTTGACATGAGGCTACGTAATAATGCATCAGATACTACCAGCTGTATTAAAGATACTGGGTCCACATTGCAACCAGGCAGAAAAAAAAAAAAAAATCTTGTGCTTTTCATTTGCCTACAATGACTTCAGAGCTGAATGTTCATTTCTTTTTTTTTTTCTTTTTTTTTTTTACATATATCACATTTTCAGGGCCATGCATTAATGTTTATACTTTTTTTTAACTCGATTTCTGATGCTTCTTAATTTTTTTTTATTTTTAATATTCATATACAATGGTATTTAGCCAATATCTGATGCAGATTTGATGTGCCCAGACAAAATAACAGAGTTAGGATTTTAGGATTTAGATATATGGAGAACCAAAAGTGCCACAAAGTAATACATAAAAACAACCAACAGAATTTGCCTAAATGGGTCATGATTACATTTGTTAATGTACTGCGATGTATTGTAAAGTAGTTTGAATTGTCATTGTGATTACCAATAAGACTTTAGTGGTGAATGGATTCTAATTTAGCAAAAGACCATATTTGATTAGTAGCAATATTTATTTGTTTTGTAATGTTTACTTGCTTGTCTGTTGTTCATTAAGACACTGAATATCGGCCATTCACTCTTCAAATGTCACCAGAATCTAGAATTTGGACAGTAAAAGTGAAAAGAGCTGCAGTATTTCAGAATCACTGACACATTTTTAAAGAGCTGCATTGGATCAGCACAGTAGTGAATAGATTCTTCATTACATGACCTTACAAAGAATAGGTTTCCTTTAAAAAAAAAAAAAAACCTAAGGAGTGTGAAGATTTTATTTTAATTAACCTAAATTTTTATTCCAGCCGTAGGAGCATACCAAGGCAAATCTTATGAAATCCTAACACCCCCAAAATTAGGAGTGGCTCCTATCTAGACACTGCTTAAAAAAAAACTTTCTGGTGGTTTAAACATCCAGCCTGTTCCTGGTGGTGCTGCTGTAGTATTAATCTAGGTAAGATAGTGGAAGCGCACTCAGTGAATTAAATGATAAAGGTTCTGCCATAAAAGACTGTTTAATTTGTTAAAGGTGGTTTTCCCAAATGTTTTTAATCTCCATTTGCCCTGCGAGAGATATTTTGTTTATATGCAAGAACAATGATCTGATGGTTGTGTACATAAATCAGGAAAATCATCCTTTGTTACAGCAATGAGATAGATGCCTAACCATGTGAGTGTAAGAATTTCCTTCAGACCAAATCCGTCATCTTCAGAATATCTGCGTCAGCTCCGCCTGCGGACTGACGGGCATGCAGAAAGAAGAGAAAAACTAAATTCATTTTGCACTGCAGCACAAACTCATTAGATAATTAATGACATGTTTTCTTATTTGGTAAGGTATTTTTTTTCTCTCTAATAAATAAATTTCAATGTGGCACTTTTGGGCCTCTGTAGGAGTTTGACCTTTATGAATCTGAGCTTGAATGAAAGATTCTTCATTTTGAAGGTGCCGCAAACTAAATGTTCTCTTAGTAAAGCCTCACACATTCCACCAGTATTCTGCAAGACGAGTGCAGACAGTAAATGAGCTTTATCTTTCAGTTTCAATAATTTAATAGCTTTGCATTCACACATAAATACAATAGTTCAGTGCATTTTCCCCCAGGCCTCCGATTGGTCTCATATTTGTTTGCTACGTATAAACCCTTCCTCAAGAGAAAACCCCTTGTTAATTTTAAGTGCTAAGAAAAGTGTTAAGTTTCTGGATTTCTATATTTCTTAAGTTGAACACCAAAGCTGAGTTTCTCTTTTAAGTGGCCCACTGTATATGCATGAGTTTTAATGATGGCGTAAAGTTGACGATGATAACCCAACAGGACATGAAGAGAAGAGTCAATACAGGTGAACTAGCAGATCAAGTGTTCATAAAACTCCTAAACCAGTTAAATTAAATTACAGCAAACATTTGTAGTTATTAAAACAACATTTCTTCCTTGCTGAAAGTGAACTCAACTTTTTTTTTTTTTTCGTTTTTCTTCTAAATCCAGCACTGATGATGCGTTCCACATCCTGAACCTCCTTTTGTGTGCAATGTGCAGATCCTGGTCTGTTTCTTTCAGATCCTTTGCGTTATTTGCGGAGGAAGGATAGTTTTCAGACCTGCTCGCTTGTTCCCGTCTGCTGGCTGTATGCTTCTCATATTGTGCTGTCCCACCCAACCCCCGGAGAAGGTGCAGGTAAACCTCGTTAGAGATCCGTCCTCTTTGCTCTTCAGTGGTAGATCCGAAGAACGACTGCTGCCTCTGCCTGCTGTGCTTTGATATGATATAGTTGACATGTTTTTGGTCCATATTTGAAAAAATATTTTTAACCCATGTCGTATTCCTCCATTTTGTTTCCTTAGAATTAAGACTTCATCACAGTTGAACAGTTCTATAGAAACCTGACTGTTTCTCTCCCCCCTCCCCCCACCGCAGATGCAAGGCCCACCACCTGCAAAACAAAACAATTAGTTAGCTGAGAAGTAGCGTTCATGTTTAATTTAACTCCATTACCCTCTTTATTTCAGAGAGCAGCTGCTGTAATAAAAGAACATTTATTACAGTTGCTGCACAGTTTATTAGAAAACATCAAAACACCTGTTCCTTTCATACTGTAGCCGCAGTGCTGTGAAGAAGTGTTTGCCCCTTATAATGTTTGAAAAATCTGTAGCTAATTACAAAAGGCTGACTTGAGTTTTACCGGCCACACAAATGCCTTTTTTTTTTTTTGCCAAACTGGATAAAAATAGTATCAATGGGAGAATTCAAAGGTGAAAACCACTACTGACAAAAAAGACACAAGGACCTGCTCATCTAGACCGTCCCCAAAACTACTGGGAAAATATTCTGTGTACTGATTGGAAAAAAAGAGCAAGTCCACCTCTTTGATAAAAATGATCAAAATTATGGTTTTAGAGTCAAAGTCCGAACTTAAAAATGATTAAAATGCTGCATTTGCTCAGGTTATCTGTATCTGATAGAATTTGTTGAAATATTGGCAAAATTAAAATGTGACAAAAGAAAAAAAGATGAAATCTATAAAGGTGGAAATGCTCTTTCTGCACATTAGTTAGACAAAGTAGAATAATAATAATAATAATAATAATAATAATAATAATAATAATAAATTCCTCCCTTTGATGCATCACATAGTCTGAATATTTACCAGAGTTTGAGGAAAGTACAATCAAATCTCCATGTTCGGATCTGTGAATCCTTTCTTCCCCTCATTCACAAGGACGGGTTTCTCTGTCCTTGTATGCCAAACGAGAATCTGGTAAAAAAAAAAAAAAAAGCATGGAAACACAAACAGCAGAAACATTAGTGACATGCTGTTCTCTTAATGCACTGATTCAGCCTCATGTTCTTCAACTACAGACGATTCTGGACGCTGCTCCAGCAGTACATTCACCACCACGGGGCCTGTCTATGTGTAAAGAGCTACTTGAGCGTGAATCCTGCAGAGTGAAAGGAGGCAGTGTTGAAACAGGGTTTTCTTACAAATTTAGCACAGCCCTTTTTCAGCTTGTCCTCTTCTGACCACAGAATAATTGCTTCCTTCAAATGACTGACAGCTCTAAATTATTTGTTGTATAAACTTTTCCCTTTGTGGCACTGCTACAGTTTTCTCCCCGGTTCTTCTGGATACGTTTTTGTTCCATTACATCCTCCAAAGTCTTCATGCTGGCTTGCTTTTGCCCCAGAGACAGAACAAACACGCAGGAAAACGCTTGCAAAGGGTGGGGGAGAGAGGGGGAGGGAAACAAACTCAAAGTGTCAAGCTCATTTCCCTCTTCTCCCCTTTGTGTTGGTACCCTTCCTTCTTTCATCTTGCCTTGGCAGCAGTCATGAAATATGCATGAGCCGTGCCAGGAGCCCACTCCCTCTCTGCTCAGGTGTAGTGAGGAGGCGGGTAACCGTGACGCTCGCATCTGAAGTGGACGATTATAAGAAAAAGACATGCACATACACGACTTAACCCCCACCCCCTCCCTTTTGCTCCATCTTCACCACCCTTTTTGTCCATCTCCTGCACTCATCTGTAATCAGTGTGACGTCTCTGCCTCCTTCACCGAGTCCAATTCAGTTCCGTGAGCAGTTCCCTGAATCCCCTCTTTTCATTTAGGCCTGTGAAAGGCAGGAGAGGAGCAGGATGAAAACCTGGCTGAGAGTGCGTCCCTTCCCTTCCCCTCCTTTTCTTCTCCGCTCTATCTTTGTCTGTGTGTGTATGGGTGCTTGTGATGAGGACTGGCTTGCTGAAGGCCTCTGGCTGACTCCTCTTTGCCCGGAGAGAAAGCTTAGCGAGGTGACCCAGAGCAACAACTGCAAGAGGGAGCGGTAAAGCTGGAGAGAAAATAGCCCATCTGCACCAAGTGCTTATGGGAATAAATGCTTTTGTTTTTCTTTTTTTTTTGCAACTAGATATATTAAAGAATGTATATAGAAAAGGTTTTTCTGGTTCCTTGATTAGCAACCAAAAAAAAAAAGTTTTCTATAACGAGCAACGGCTATACTGTATTTTACTGATGCATCAAGGATAAAAGGGGCTCAAGCCCCCTGCGCCCCCCTCTGCACGTGCCTGGTGCATGTTAATACATAACGACCCATATTTTGTGCTTTTACTGTTAAAATACACAAATATAAATGTTTCTAGAGGGAGCCTCAAGTTTTAGCAGATTTTAGCATTTGTTGATTTTCACCGTGAATACTGGGGGTCCATAGAGGTTAAATTAGCAGTCGTTTTTAATTACTGTGAGCCTCATGTCAATATTTGTGTGCTTCGGCAGTGCTTGTGCTTCTTCTTTAAAGTTAAAAGAAGCCGCTCAGTGACTTGCACTGAATATGGAATTTGAGAACCATTTTTCCATGTTTATTAAAAAAGGCACCAACGGAAACTCTGTTGAGAAACAGATTTCTTGAAAAATAAAGTTTTGATGTTTTAATGATGTTTTAAGAGGACTTCTTGCCGTGTCCTCTGTTGCTGCAAGAAAATTTTATTTTGTCGCTGTGATCAGGATAACATTCATTAAAAAACCCAAAACAAAACAAAAAAAACATGGTCAGCACAGCCATTTAGGGTAATTTCTAAAAGACTGGGGGAAGGCGTTAGATTTTAAATGATTTTTTTGTCATTTGTGCAAACATATGAAATCATGTTGTTTCTATTGCTTGTTTCTTAAAATAATATAAACAATATTTTTAGAACCACCCCGTTTGCGGTTTTGGTCATGGTTGACAATGTTCACATCATTATCACATCGTTAAAATGACACTGGTGGCATGCAAGCCTCTACATTTATTGCTACGCTAAAACTCAGATGCAGCAACCAGAGGGGGGAGTATGTGTAAATTATTTTGCCACTCTTACTTGATTTTTATTTTATTTTTTTCAACAGATTTAAATTAAATCTACATTCACTAAGCATTTAACATAAAGTACTTTATAAGATTAATACTTTATGTTAATTAAGGCAGTGAACATAAAAATGAATAAATGAATGAATGAATGAAGAAGTTCCCAACTCAAAACCAATTTACATCCTGGACCTTATTTTGCAGATTTCGGACTGTGTCAAATACAGTTAAACTGTTTTCAGTTGAGCTGCTGAACTTTCATGATCAAAAAAAAAAAAAAAAAAAAAAACCTGAGGTTACCTTAGTGCAGTTGGCAGCTTTTGGCTCCAGGTCATTGAGTGTTACGAGTTCTCGGAGCAAGCTACTCTCCTGGTAGCCTCCCTTCACGCCGCGGAGCTTAAAGTACGCCTGTGGTTTGGCGAGGATGAGCTTCAGGTTGATGGCGAAGCCAGCCATGTCGATGGCAAATGGCCGGTGGGGGTCGAACACCGCCTTCCAGCCGTAGACCTTTCCGGCTGCGTTTACCTTGGGGGACTCGTAGCGCAGGCCACCCACGAAGGCCACAGGCCACACCGAGACTTTCCGAGTCGACCTCATCTAGCCGGAGGAGAGGAAGAGAGAGAGAGAGAGAGAGCATATTAGTGATCTGAAGGAGCATACATGACAGGAAGACAGTAGTTTAGCCTCAGTCAGCAGCGCTGCATCAGAGCATTGAAGGAGATGATTCATTCTGAAAGACGGTGAATATTGACCGTGCTGCTGTACCAAGTGCAGCTGACACACTGTTCAAGGGCTGCAGTACAATAAGATAATGAGGCGCAGCCATCTTAAGAGGGAGTAAACACGGGCAGAGCCAGGAGGCTTTAAAGGAACAGAGCTATTAGAGAAAATGGCTCAGCTTCCTGGTTGGCTCAAAAGATTCTTTAAGGTGGAACAGCACCATCCTCCTTTTTACTTCCCCCTTGTTTGGTCCTTTAATCTTCTGCGATCAAGCACTTTTGCCGCCCTCTCCTTTGTCGGTTGCTCCTCGGGTTCTTGCCACTCTGACAAAAAGCTGCAGCTGTAATAAAAGGTGCATTTTTATAATGAGGGTCGAAGAGGATTTAGAAATTGCAGAGGCATTTAGTCAAACTCGATGCAGCAGAAATAATGATGCCTCTCAAGTACCTCTGCAGTCACTGGTAAGATGCAGTGCTCGCCTGCACTGATGGAACAAGCAGACACATCGGACGCATTCGTACCTTTTCCGTTTCTGCTGAGCGTTCAGGTCAGGTGATTTAGGAGGAGCACAGTTTGAACATTACGAAGCGGCAGAAAACTTTGGGAGATTCATGGATGTGAGCTCCTGGGAGAAACAAGTAGCTGAGTCTGTTCTAATGAGCTCTAGGAAGTAACGGTGACACTGGAGAGATACTGGGTTTGTATGTGTCTACGTGCATGGTTGGGCTAAAAATATCCTCTGCCATTGGTCACATTTTTCTATCCAACATCATCTCTCATCACACTCTTATTCTGTCTTTTTGGTCTCCAGCTTGCTTTGTCGGCTACACAAACCGTATCTCCTCACGCCGTTTCAAGGATGAACGTTCTTTGGCAGGGAGTAAATCCGTCTATCGTCTGGCTGCGACGTCACTTGCCAGCTTCCTTCTTGCAGATATGTTTGCACCTTCCCCCACAACAAGAGAAAACAACAAATCAGGCCCCTTGCAGGTGGTGTCAAGAGGTTTGTCACTCTCCCATCCACGCTGGAAATGTGAAAATGAGTGTTCCGCTCGCTTCTTCTGGAGGGAATATCAGCCGGAGTGAAACTGACACAAATCCCCTCTTCTGCTGGCAGCCAAGCAAATGAAAATGCAACCAAGTTTCCCACCGCCTCACTCAGGCGAATATGATGGGTTTGTACACAATTCCTTGTGTGGTGTTGCTCCAGTTTCGCGAATGCATGCCAGTCTCGGGATTTAAGCTCGGTTTCCTGCTCCAGTTTGCTAGGGGCCACAGTACTGTGTTTGAGATGTTAGACTGAAGAAAGAAACAAAGTCCTTTGGTTGAAAAGACACATAAAAACCAATTATTCTTCTGAATTCTTCAGTCCTTAAGGATATTTCGGGAGACAATGGAAACTGCCCTATACACTTCTCTAATTTGTGGAGTCTATGGGTTATTATCCAAGTGAAAGATTTTCATAAAAGTTTCTCAAACTTTTCTTTGTTTCGAAAACATAATTTATTCAAGTTTAATCACTCCCCAGTGATTAAACTTGGGTAAACTTCAGCAAGCCCAGACCTGTTACATTCTTGTTGCTGAGAGGAGGCAAAAACTAGCCCAAAAACTAAATAAATTGACTCTCCAAAAGTTTAAAATTATAAGCCTTTCTTTGATTCAAGACCCTTTGAAATTGTTGATACTTTGGATAAACAATTTTCTACAAAAACACAACTGTTTTTTAACTTGTTTTGTTATATTTTTGAGTATTAAAAAATACAAACGATTTACATTTTTATTTAAAAAAATTTACGATTTTTGTGCTAAATGACTTTGACCATCTTGGCAAAAGGTTTGGACACTTCTGCTCTTGGATATTGACACAGACTGCAGATTTTGTACTGCTCGCTTTGCTCCCCCATTAATAACAGCTAAGGTTGTTAGCCATCAGTGGCTAACAACCTTAGCTGTTAAGGTTGTTCGGAATGTAAGCGCTATAATCATTTTGTCTTTAATTTAAAATTAAAATAGTGCTTTGTTTTGAAGTGACTCGTTGTCGTTGCTGTGCTTATTTCTTTTTTTACATTGCTATTCATACATTTATATAGCTTTGGCTTTTCTAAAAGTGGAGATAGGAAGTTATCTCAAAATTGACAGGACTCCAACCATCAACCATTTTACGGGGCTTGTCAGCAACTGACCAATCGGCGGTCGCAATTTGTATCGTACACGCCTATCTGAAGGAAATGAACCTCCAGATAGGTGGTTGTCAGTGGTTGCTAATGCTAACACGCTGCGGTCATAAAGATTTTGAGGAAAATAATAGGAAATTATGGTTCAGCTATGTCAGTAGAGAACATGCAAACCTGGCAGCTGTTACCCAGAGTGTGTAGAGGCGCAGAATTGAACTTGTTACATTTTAAAAACCCAAACGGAGTCTGGAATACTGCAAGAGATGAACCAAGGCCTGCCTGCAGCCGACCTCACGTCCACTTGAATGAAACTGTGATCAACACCTACCACATGTTGTCTGCCAGAAGGTAACTGATAGTAAATATCCCTTTCCATTGTCATAAGGACACTTACTGATAGTCAAATCAAAGATTAATAAGTGAAGGTAGTTATCCTTGATTGTATGTGTAAATTCCAATGGTAGCACTATGGCAGCTTGGAAACGTGCTGCAGTAGCTGTGGTATTTAAATTTAAGAACCTTTTTATGCTACTGTTTATTTTTAAGTATTTTCCTGAAGGCAGAGTTTCACAAGCTTGTATCATTTAAATCATTACTCACCCGCTTTGTACATGCAAAATAGTCTGACAGCTTTCACACTCACATCCAAAGAGACTTTGTGCCCCACATTCTTCCTCTGGCTGCAAAAGACTTGGGCTTTAACGTTTCTCCGTTGTTTCACATAAATAACCTTGTAGACCTGATGCACGACTCGTTGGAGATTTTTTTTTTTTTTTTTTGTTTTTTTTTTTTTCCTGGGGGTTGGCTCATAAAGCAAAATGACTCAAAAAATGTCTTGGGTAAGACATCGAGTTTCCTTACTTTTACAAACTTATTACATAGTTTGTCGGATATTCGCTCTACTTCCGCATGGGGACGGTGTCGGCATCAGTTCAATTTTTATGCATCCTTTATTCCATGAATGTTGGATATTTTTAAAGATTGCTTACTAAGTGAAATGGTGACAAGGGACAATAACACTACAGTATACTAAATAGTGAATTAAAAATAAGGCTTTGGAGGAGAACTTTGCATGCATCATTATTCTTTTATTAAGTATTCACAAGATTTAATTAAGGACTGACCTAAAAAGTATATTCACATTCAAGAATATATTTATCATTGTCTATGTTGCTGCAGTTGATGGATTTAAATATCTTAGTGTGCATTCATGAAAGCAGCATAAAAATGTTCTCCATTGCTTCACAATCTTAGCAGTATTACTTGTTTACTTATTGTTCTCATTCTTTACAAATCAAACTGTTCTTGTCTTGAAATTTATTAAGTTTAAACATTTGTCAGTTAATTTAAATGTTGGTAAATGGGAAACTTTTAATACATAAATGCTTATTTTTTTCTTTCTTGCATGTAATTTGAAATTTTGAACATGAGCAATATCTGGTTTGCACACAATTAGCACACTTTGAATTAGCATTGCAGCCTGTGGTTGTTACTGTCTTATTGACTATGAGTGAGTGCTGGGGCTCGTTTGTGGAAGATTTTCCCTTGGGGACAATAATGTCTGAAGTGTAAGACTCAAAGGATCAGCAACATGAAGACCCTGTTGAGAGTGCTTTTCATATAAAACTCCTATTAAGCCAGGGGTGTCAAACTCAATTTCACCGAGGGCCACTTCAGCATATTGGCC